CAGTGGAGAGGCTCAGCTCATTATTTCGAACTCTGAGCAAAACATGAAGGCTTCCTCTGCTAATTAGGGCATTGGCCTTATTTATTCAAGTGGTGACATGTTTTTGAATGAACTTTGGATCTTCATGTTGCTATCTAAGCTGTGCTATACAGACAGCAGGAAAAATCTTTCTTGCATCTTCAGTATTTAACAATATGACTCTGTCGATGGCACAAACATGGATCCAGGTGTTTCATTGTGAAGAAAGTCAGTATTACAAAAGCAACTTGTAGGCTTTGTGTCTGCAAAGGTCTTATGGTTCCACAGGTACTTTGCTAGCACAGTAAGGTGAATAGGCCGCATGCCCCCATCCCCAGCCCATATTGGAAAGGTTTTGGGCTTTTTTTACTTTCTACTGAAATTTGGCACTTTGAGAGCACCAAGGTCACCACATTTGCTGTGCATAGAGCTGGAAAGTTTTTGAGTCTATGTATCAAAGTATGAGAAACCTGAATGTTCACTAGAGGTTTTCTTTTTTTTTTTTTAAAAAAAAAACCATTGGAGCCAGGCAGGTTGTAAGGCAGAACTTCTTAGAAAACTAGTTTAGAACAGCATCTGAAATGTGTGATTCTTGGAGCCTTCAGAGACTTCCACATTAAAAAATGTGTGCCCAGCCTTCTGAGAAACAGTGGTATGTGGAAGATCACCTACTCGTATGTTTGATTTAGCTAAAGAACATGTTTTACAAAGATATCTATCCTCAATCCAACATTTTATTTCTTTTTAAGTCACTGTGTATATACACTGTGGTTTGGTAAATTTAGAGTTAAAAGGAAAAGCATTTTGTTTCCAGTTTTAAATTTTATGACCTAAACATCCAGCCTCTGGACATGGCCATGAGTTCTCTGGTTCTGCCTGCTGTGTGAGCTCGGTGTCTGCCGTTCACATCCTCACTGCTCAGCTGGCTGGAGGTCTGGAAAGCACTGATATTCTAAGGGTTACTGGATTACAACTGTTCTCTGCAAACAAAATTCACATCTGTTCTGACAACTTATTTCAGCCTGATGCAACTTGAAAAGGTCGAGATTAATCCCAGAAAATCAAACTTCTATTTGAAAGGCCAAATCAACTTTAATTGTAACACATGGCTATTTGTATTGGCATTTAGCTGCAGCCGTTTATCCTTCTTTCCATTGGTATTATTTGTTTCTGAGCTTGCTCCTAAAGCCTGCAATGCCAGCTGAAATGTTTTAAGTAATGTAAAAAAATAACAGCTGACATCTTTGCTTTTACAGTTTTCCACTGACCCAGGGTATTTCGTGTGCCTGTTTTTTATGACTTTTGTTTATCAGCAGTCTGTGAAAAAAAATCATGGGAGAAAATGTTGGCTCATTTTATAAAGATTAATGCTTTATTGACTGTCACACACCCTCCTAGCCTGTTGGGCCAGAGGGGATGAGCCACTCAGTCTCAAGTTCTACCTCCTACCCAACTTAGATTACAGGTGTTAAGGGGTTTAAAACCCCTTTGCATTACACCAGTTGCAAGCTGTGGTTTTCCATGTCAGTGAGGTGACTAACAGCACCCTCTCATTGGCATGGGGGACAGGTTGGTGTAGCACCTCCCTAACTACTCTGCTTCTCCTGGCAGTTGTCATCAGCTCAGCCACTCAGCCATCAACTGATAGCTGAGCTCTCAGATCCCCTGAAAAGTAACAGGATGAAAGAGGCTGATTTGGCAATACTTTGCTCTTGCTGTTTGGCCTGGAGAAAGATACTCTAAGTGGTAAGATTGTTTAGCAACAGCTGGCAAGCACCCGGGTGTGAGCCTGATTTTCAGACATGACAGGCACTTATAGGAATGTTGCCAGATACAGCTGTTTAAAAGCCTTAATAAACAGCAAGTCAATACTAATCTTTGCCAAATTAATCTTTTCCTTGACAGCCCATCAGAGCAATTATGCTCAGACTCGTTGTAAACACACAATTGTCAGACGGTAAGGATCTTCTCTGCAATATACTGTGGATTTTTGCACACAGCTTGTTTTCCAAATAGGTAGGTTTCCATTTCTTTTACCCTTCCTCTCCTTTTTTTTTTTTTTTTCCTCCTCTCTCCTCTTTTATGTTCTGGCCAATTACATGATTGCCAGCTTGGTATTAGCCTGAACAAAATTTCTTTGTAAAGTGTCTATCGCAGCAAGCCCTTAATAGAATGTGAAATGATGACAGTTGCAGGATCCATGCAGATGCACATTTGCTAGTGGGTTTCTCTAATTAGGCAGTAACTGTGACAGACTCTGAAATGTTACAAGTCATTGTTCTCACTTGTCCTCTTGTTGGTGGAGTAAGAGCTACATTTGAGTTGCGATTTAATGTGCTGCTGGGTAATAATAAAATACATGACTTTGCAAAGGAAAGCAAATGCTGTCTGTGAGACCTGACACAAAGAACCTTGTGTTCTCCGAGGTGCTCAGCATCTCCTGCAGCGCTGCCAGTACGCTGCTATACTCACCAAAAAAATATTTCATTTCAATGCAAAAGGACTTGAAAATACCAGATAAATAATTAAAAGGGCAACGGTTATATATCTGTCTGTCTGTCTGTCTCTATCTATACCTATATCTGTACATCTGTCTCTATTCCTACCTATTGATGGGAGTTCAGGGGAGTAACTGCTGTATGGACTACATAACAACTCTTAACTACTTCTCACAGTGTGTGCAAAATAAGAATTTTTACCCGCTCCATTTTCCCAGAGCACAGAAAGAGATCACTCTGGATCTGCCATGTTTACAGGACTGGATAAAAAAAAAGGCAGATACTTGGAGATGGTAGTTCAGGGTGGGATGAGGTCTCAAAAACCTGAGGAAGGTGGTAAGAGTGTGTTTTACCTTCCAGTAATGAGATCTTTTATTGTTGGGTTTCCTGTTTACAGAGGAGCCTCACAGGGAATATTTTGCAGAGACGCCACTGGAATCTGGAGCTGGTATTTGGTGAGAGAGAGAGAAGTGGGCATGAATACATTACATCTCACTGTGAATGGCTGGGGCTCTCCATGAATACATTACTTACTTACTGCCTGTGGATTAATGTGGGGGGAAAATACTATGGCAGGTCTCTTTGCATTGCTTTTTTGGGTCTGAGGCAGCAGCTGGATGAGACTTCTGCTTGAACATGTGTGAGTTTGGGGATAGAGAGACCAGGACTCGTGTCACCAGAACAGGGCATACTGAGAGCAGCAGTAAATTTGAAGAGCCTTTTCTTTTTGAAACCTCTGCTTACCTTGGTGCAAGCAAATGGGATTTACATCCTGCAGAGTGCATATATTGCCAACTTTGCATTTTGCCCACCACTTTTTTAAAATAATAGAAAAAAATATTAATTTCAATTAACATAAGACATTATTTCCCTTGGTTTCTCTCACTTTGACAGGTGTTTTTATCATATTTACTTGCTGTTACTGTGTTGCTTCAATGTGCAGGTTGTTTAGTTCCTATGTGCTTTCTCATAATCATGGTTAGGACACATGGTGACTCACAATCAGTGATTGGGCATATGTGTTAATGTGGTGCCTAAGCCACAGCACTTCAGCAAAGGATGGTGCATGTCTTCATGAACTCCAGTGGAGTTTCACCTGCTTACAAAAGGATATCAACCACCTATTAACAATTTGTATCTGTCAATATACAGCTGAAAACAAATAGCAGATTGCTCTTGGCCAGCAACCATTCCTTTTTTTCCAAGGTCAGACATGAAGAACTCCCATTTATGCATTGAAGTTGGATCTTCCTTTTGGAACAAAAGTGATTTCACTATATCCATGGCCAAAACAGCTGCTTTTCCAGCACAGTTGTCCCATCTGAACAGAGCCCAGGGACAGAACTACACTCAGATCGCTGGATGGGTAAGATGCTGCATGGAAAACACACCGCTTACAGATCGAGACACCAACTAGCCAGAGGTTCATACAGAATAAGTATTTTATTCATGATGTATTTTTTTATTTACATTAAAGTTTTCTTGTATTTTGAACTCTGCTTGGATACCGAAATTAACAACTTTATGTGACTGCACACCTGCTCTAAAAGAAATGGAGATAACACAGTTCTTTTCCATAGAAGAAAAAGGAAAATTACCTGACGAAATCAAAGTTGATTTTTTTCATTCCCAGTAATTATCTTCTCACTTTAGAATTAATATGAGTGGAAAATGTAGTTTACTATAATATAATAAATAGAAGACATTGGGTAATTAGTAGTGCTGGTATATTTCTAAAGTACTAAACAGACAAACAATAAACTGTGAATTTAATCACGAGTTCTCATACAGTTTCAAGACAGGAAAATTAGAGCTCTCAGCTACAGTCATTTGAGTAATCACATCTGATCTGCATTATTTATTAGTTATTACATGCCAAGTGATTCCGATTGTACATTGCCTGAAATAATTCAAAAGCAAGCATGCCTTTGTTTCTGTTTTGTTTTATAAAGAAAAATCAATGGCGTTGCATAATGTGTATTCTATTCGGATTTTTTCTTTATTTCACATAGAAAATACAAATCAGCGCTACTCTCCATTAATGGGACAGGCATCTGGGATGAATCCTCCAGAAATGTATTTTTAGAGTTATCCCTGATCCCAAACATTGTCAAAATACCTTCTTCTGGATATTTTCATCCCTTTCCCTGTGACTGCTGAACTTACCTCTCATTTTAGGATTTATTTCTGATATACTCCCTAAAATTCTGTAGGAACTTTTGCATATTTAATAAAATGCCTGAAGCATATTTGGTAATATTTCTTTTGGTAATATGTTTATTCCATTTGACTTATTAACAAAAAATGATGCAGTTTCAAGAAGCAGCATTATGCAGTTTTATTCAGTTAGTTTTGTGGGTTCAAGTCTTAGTTTTGGGCAGCTTCCTGCTACAATACTTTAAAAAGGGAATTACTCAAAATACTTTTTTTTCCTTCTCCTAAACAACCAAAGAAATAGAGAAATAATTATTGGGTACCTTCATGTTCTGCCAGTAAAGCAGGTTTGGTGTTATATATGTCACAGTAAAAACTAAATAAAGTATTCACATCAGTTGTGAACAATTTGTGCCAGCAAAAGTTAAAGCGTCAAAGAAATCTCTTTAAAATGCTAACAAATTTACTTACAAACACCTATATTTATTATTTCATAAATAGGCGCAACAGGTTCCATAAAAAAGATTAAATACAGACACAGTATGAAGAAACAATAATACATAGCCATATGTAGAGGTTATAATTTAGCTGTCTCCAATCTGTTTCTGCAACTAATAAAATATCAGGTAAGCATTTGGCAGTTTTATACATAAAAGGACTTAAATGATGTTTACTAACCAGTACACATAAAGTGATTTTCTTTAAAAAAAAAGAAACATTTTTTAGGCAGTACAAAATAAACATGTTTGCTCTTTATCAACATCAGTTTTTTCCCTAGGTTTTTTTTGTTTTTATTTCATGAGACAAAGCCAATATTTTTAATTAATATAATTTGGGACTATTTTACTTTCTTTCCTCCAAATACCTTGAAAATATAGACTATTAGTCAGTTGCTTAAAAATGAAGTAAAAATATGAATGTTTGCCAATTTAACCCTTATTGTGAAATCAATAAACTGGAATGGGCCAGTTTCAATTACAATTAGCTACAAAAACATTCACATTTTATACTCTAGGAGAGTGTAACATAGATGCTATTTACAAACTTGCTATGACTGCTACATCAAGCCATTTAAAAAGTCTTTAGTAGTTTCATATAAACACCCATTATGAAAAACCAATGGAAAATCCAGGACTTTTATCCAAGACATCTACAGTTGCTAAGGCAGTTACTATCGCAGCACTTCACAGCAAAAACCAACATAAAATCTGAATGGTCCAAGTTTCCTTCAGGGAAGAAGAAAAGCAATGTCCGTTAAAGGATCTCAGGGTAGGGGTGGAAAAGACAAAGAAAGAGAAAAATAAGGGGGGGGGAGGGGGAGAGGAAGAAAAAGAAAGAAGCAAGACTATTTTTTCCAGAGTGGGTGACCCACAAGCTCAAATAGTCCTAAGTGCTTAGCAACTTGTATTTCCTAATAAAATGCAGAACTGCCTTGACTGCATAAAGCAATCCATGATGAAAAGACTTCCCTGCATTCCTCAGTGGAAAGGAGAGTTGTTTCAGATTTTCAGGTAAGGTAGAGTGCTTTGTCCCTCTGCATGCCCCTGTTCAAACAGAAAAAGAACAAATGTGGGTTTTTTTAAATTTGAAAAATTCTCTAGTTCTACTTTTTGAAAAAACCCCAACCCCACAACCCTATTGCATGTCATTAATTCCAAGCATATCACTGAAGTACAGCTGCATTGTCATGGTAATAATAAGAAAAATCCTAGTGCCATAGTGACATGTAGCAACCTGGAAACCACATCTGGCTCTAAACTGCACAGGACTGGAATACTGGTCTAAGTGCCGGTTCAGGATCACCTGCACCAGAGGGCTGGTAGCACTGACTATCAAAAACCACATGGGTAGAGTTGAGGGTTTAGCACAGGTCTTGAAACAATACTCTATAAGCACCCTGTATGAAGTGGCCACTTTCCTTAGAGGGCAGGAGAGCTAAGTTACATGAATATGGATGTCAGCCACTGACACCTCTGGCCTATTTTATTTCCTCATTCAGACATAGCCAAAACATGTTGGGTCAGCAGGTTCAGCTAAACAAATGCAAGGGAACACTAGAAGCTTCTGGTGCATCCAGCTAGACCAACTCTCTACTGGAGACCAGGGTCTTCAGGAGACCTTCCACGAATGCACATTGTCCAGCATACTTTTGCATTAAGTTCTTGTTGGGTTTCAGCTTCAACTGAAGCATACCAGTTCAGAGTAAAAAGGAGTAATTCACCAATTTCTAATTTGGAACGGTCTGTGGAAGTCAGAAAAAAAGAGTATTTTAAAGCAGCAGAAGCATCACTGATGGGGCTTGGTGCACACTGCAGACACTTTCTGGAAGAGAAGCTTTATTCTTAATCTCCCACTTCGTTGACATTGACAAAACCTAGGCACCAGTTCTGTTATTCCACAGCTTTGCAGTTTACTTGCTTTGGAGTCCAAGTACAGAGCAAACTACACTGCACTGGTAGTTTATGCCAATGCTCTAGCAAAGATAGGTTAAGTTCATGCACGCAGATTCACTAAGGCATATCTACACAGAGTATATACAGGGTCTGCTCAGAGAAAGCTGCTAGTGATGGAAAGTTATGCCCAGTGGACACCTGGATGGCAGTGCTGGGAACAATGACACATCGCTTTTTTTCCGGAATCAGGAATCAAAGCCATAATAAGGCTGCGGCTTATTTGACAGAGGACAGTCTATTCAGAGTTCAGTGTCAGTGGCTGTAAAAGTCTCTGGGCCTGCAGTACGTATCAAGACATAATGGTGGTACAAGCAGGAACAAGCAGGTTCTAGTCAAGGTGTTATTCTGAACTAGTAATCAGAAAAACGATTTTTGTTCAGTTACAGAAACACTTTAAAACAATGATACAAGTGGAATTCTCAGTTTAAGTAAGTGTAATGGATGAAACTGATCTTTAGTTTTGGTTTGTGTTCATTTGTCTGGGCTAGATTTGGCACTTTGGTAGCAACCAAGAGATTTTATCTGCCTCTGCCTTGGAGATTCATGCCAAGTCAAGGGAAGGTCAGGCTGATGGGCATGTTCACAAGGCTCAACACCTATCATTTAAAACTGAAGAGATACCTTCTGTTCAGTCTTAAATGTTTCCAGAAAGTAACATGGCTCCAAAAAACCATGCTGCAGAAGAGTTGAAGATGAGAAGGGGTTACTAACCTTATGTTAAGGGCATAGAGCTCCTGAAGGTACGGTATTTTGTTTCTGGTTACAGTCACGTGGTCTTCATGCCATTCCCTTCCTCGTATCTTGTATCCCATGCATCAGCCCTGCCTCTCACTGATGTGATTTTTCATGACCCAGACTAATTATTTTCACTGGCAACAAGATTTCCTCAGCAATGGAGTATTTGTAGAAAATAGTTCACATTATTTGCCTCTCAAGGAGAAGGTAGCGATCTTAAAACTTCTTTCTTACACCTTCTCCTAAGATTTCAGTTCTGATTTTCTGTGGAATGGAAGTTCTCTAAGACTACAAAGTGTATGTGCTGTGATAAAGTGACAAAAATGTCTAATAAATGTATGTATTGAAAACTTGTTCTCCTTCAGCAGTCTAACTGCTGAATAAACACGGTGTTATCACAGATGCACTTCTGAAACACTGTAGGGAAACAGGCAACAACCCTATTCTCAAATTCTCTGTCAGATACTTGTGTCATGAATGTTGCTCAACACAAGGTGGCATTCACTGGCTGCTTACCCATTACTGCAGTAGTCATTATTCCAGTCCACAGTCTGTGCCTGAGGATTTCTGCATCCTGAACGAACATACTCCATTGCTTGGGTAACAACTTGTGCAGCTGTTGATGTTGGATTGATGATATTCTGATAATCAGGCTGAAGAGTAAATCCCTAGAGGAAAAAGCAAGTACATTACAAAGTATGGAAACAAAGTAACAGGTTGGGTACATTAAAAAAAAAAAAAAAGAAAAAAGAAAAAAAGTGGTGTGTACTGTGAAATGGTAGAATACTTTTTTTCCAAGTGTGCTTTAGGTTATAAAACCTAAAATAGGCAAAAAACTGTAGGTACTTTCTAAGTTTTAAAATCTTTCTTTAGTTTGAGAAATGAAAAACTGCCAAACCATTGTTAGCTTTTACACAGTCACAAGATGGAACTAAAAGACACAGAGCAGAAACAATTCAAAACCAAGAGAACAACTCAATCAGCACTGGGAAAAAAAGGTCTGTTTGCTCCTCAGAGCTTCCATTTAGATTAAATGTAAGGATACACACTAGTCACTAATTCCCAGAATATGCAACAGAATCGTTTTGAAGGACGTAGGCAGCAGGTGGCTGACTGTTTTATTAGACTACACCTATTCACATATTGTTCTCAAAAACCTTTTTCTTCATTCAGTCACAAAGGGACCATCTGCTGCTTCTTTTATTTGCACTTCTCTCTCAACTAAACGGAAATTCAACCAAAGCTTTTTAACTGTTGTTGGACTAATGTAGTGAAAGTAGCACAGAATAACTTGCTTTTTGAAATGAAGGAGATGAGCAAAAGAAAGTGGAAGTTACAAAGAGACATTTAACCTGCTCCCTGAAATATCTGTCGTATGAAAAGTCATAATAATTTTTAGCTCTTTTGATATATTAGGATGTTTAAATACTATGTTTCAAAGTCAAGAGAACAATTGAAATTTCAAGGCTAGTGTATCTGGTTCACCCTGTAAAAATGTACATCGTGTTCCTGTAAAGTTAGAAGAACTACATTGGGTAAAAGCATGGGAATGTTGTATGAAAGCAATGGATGTCTGCTGAAAAAAAAAACAAACAAAAAACCCTCCTTCCTGGGGCAAGGGCATACAATTCCCACTCAAGTTAACTGGATGTGTAGCAGCTAAATCAGAAATTGAACTTGAACCTACTTTGAAAACTCACTCCATCCAGCCAAAGCCCACATACAAAATACACAATTAATGCTTTTAGTTAGCTTTAGTTTTAGTTTAGTGTTAGTGCATTGTGTGCGATCACTTTTTGTACACAGCCCTCATTAGGACAGGAATTTTGCAGAGAGATGCTCTTTTCTGCAGGTTTAAGAAGCCAGCCATGCTACCTTCTATCAAGATAAATGAGCATTCTCAGTTTTCACCTAGCTCCCTACATCCACAGAAATTAGCTTCCTTCAAACGTAAAATGTCACTTCCTTCTTCACATCCCTCTTCCTTAGCTATTTCCTGAGGTCCTGCAGGTGTTCTGCCCTGCCTCTCATGTGCACTGTCATCTCATTCCACTAATCCTGATCATGGATTTTAATCTAGACCACAAATGATTGCATCTTTCTTCCTTAATCTTTTTCATATGGTTAACATCCTGAGTAACATTTCAGGACCTTAAAGGCTCTTAAAAGCCTCACTTTGCCCCTGTTGACTCCAAGAAACAGTGCTGAGCAAGTTCACAGATGAATTCTGCATGTAGTTGCCATGTTACTTACACACTGCCCTGCTAGTGAGATTAAATAAAACCCACTCATGGCAGGTTTTACATCCATGGTGACTGTAACCTCCACGCTCTGTACACTACCTTTTCACCAGGCTGTAAACCTACACAGCAAGCTGCATAGACAAGCCCCAAGCCTGCAACAGATGCAAGGAAAACAGTAATTGAGCAGATTTCCCAATGACTTTAATTGGAGTTTTGTGTAATTAGAAGGCAGAAAATTTGGGGTTTTATACCATCATCATCATTTTTTATATAAAACATTACCCATAAGACCTTTCTAATTTAGCTGTAAGAGGAAATCAACCATAGAAATACATCCTACCCTCAGGCACTCAGATTTACCTTTGGTAGCAAAGCCCCTTTTCTGTTTATCAGTTTTCATGAAAAAATCATAAATACAAGAAAAACACTATAGAGGGACATTAGCCAGTAGCAAAGCATGCACGTGAGCAGGCACGGAGTCTCAAGTACTCATAATATCATAGAATGGTTTGTGTTGGAAGGGACCTTAAAGACCATCTAGTTCCAAACCCCATGCTGTGGGCAGGGAACCTTCCATTATACTAGGTTGCTCAGAGATCCAGCCAACCTGGTCTTGAAATCTTGAACACCTCCAGAGAGGGGGCATCCACAACTTCTCTGGGAAGCACTCATGCAAGAAGGAGACAGTTCCTCCAAATCAGAGGAAGAGACCATCGGGACAATACCCCTTCCATTTCTTCTGGAATTAAGACAAATAAATAGCTTAGATGCTGGAGAACAGTCCTGTGGTTTAAATGCCAGCTTGGAACTGGATGGAGACTTATTCTCATATTTTTTCAGGTTTTCTATATGACCACAGACAACTTGCCTTGACTCTCTTCCAGCAAAGCACATGTGGGCTTAGGTTGAATTGTTACCTCTCATGTTAAGGTTGGGGCTGTAGATCCAAATTTAATTCTTCTATCAGCAAAATAAGGGGTAACAACACTTTCATCTTGTACCTGGCAAGTCTAGGTCCCAACCTGCTGCCTGGGATTGTCCTGTTTCTTAGGACACACAGGTGATAAATTCTAACATGGTGCAGGCATATCTGAGTCAGGCTCCTGCTCCAGAAGCAACTCAGTCGTGCCTCTGGGAGGGGTTGAGGGCTACCAAAATACCTGCAATGTGGGTGTTGTAAAGCATGCTTGTTAAAGCAAAGTAATTTAAGCAGCCTGAACTCAGTATGAAGGACTGATAAAGTATGGTCTTCTTTAAGATGCAAGCAATAATTACTTCAGCTTTTTCACCAACAGAAAAAGCTATGGAAGTATAGTTCTGTACAACAGAGGGAGACAGCCTTGTACCAGGCTTGTGGTAAATATTTGTGTATTATTTATGTAAGCCCTTAACAAACAATGATGAAATAAGAAGTGTTCAGAAAATGAGTGCTTCGAGGTCTAATTAAACAATGCTGAATGTTTTTGCATTGTAATGCTCAAGAGAAAATCACCAACTGTTTTGCAACATGCCTAGAATTTTAAATTTCATTTTCTTGTTCCAGATTGAAATAAAAATAGGGAACTTGATAAAGATTAATTCGATGTCAGGAGGGACATTTGCTCTTTAATTAGATTTCTGTAGCCCTAGCAGTTTCGTTGTGCCACTACAGCAAGTCCTAAAAAGCCTGCAGCAGAACTAAAGAGTGATCCTCATCTCCACACTTTACTAGGAACTAATTTCATTTCCTGCCTGTCTGGAGAGGTATTTTCAACAGGCATCAATGTTTTTGTCTTCACAACTGATTTATTCATCAATCTCAATGTGATATTTTAAACCTTTAAATTACATCCAAATCCTAAAGCATCTGTTTATTACACAAGGAAATTGAAAATCTGTCTGTGTGATATCATACAAAGATTTTTCCTTAAGGTTATAAAGGAAGTTGACAGATATTAATGATTTTTTTTTCTCTTGACCTCATTCGAAGACAAAGCTTAACAAAAAAGAAGAAATCTGGACAAATACAGCCAGTCCCTGAGTTTGCTGTATATAAAATATATACCAGAAAAAATGAGGTTATTATTTTTGGCAGGCTATGCAATCATCTTGCTGTATACATTTATTTTCTAAAGGAAAAGAAATACCTAAAAGTAGACTGAAATGAGTTATTATTAAAAAAAAAATAAAATGTGACATACATTAATCTTCTGTTGCTTTGTTATGCATATGCACTTGCAGCCATGGTTACTAGACATGAAGAATCCAGTTTTGCTTGCTCTACCTGCGAACTGAAGTAGGACAGAGATTGTAATGGGACTCACCATCCCACACAATGCTTGGGGTGAAGGATTTTGAGCAGAGAAGGCGATGCTTCCACTAGGGCTACTTAAAAGGGTTCCTTAATAAGACTGGGCATATCTGGGGGAGTGAATCCTTGGTCTCATCACTCTTCACACCAAACAGCACAGTACAACAGGCTGGATAGCAGAGTATACTCAGAAAGAAACACAAATGTCTGTGTCAGTAGAGAAAGGAAAGAATGACCTTGCAAGTGAAAACAGGCTGCAGCTTCAGATGCCATTTTAGCCTGAACTTTGGAGAAATTGTGCTAATTTGAATGACAAGGATTAAGAATGAGATCATCAAGTGACAACTAAGTAAAAATTAAACATCATCTCAAACCTAAGAAAAAGACTGGAAAGAAGCAACTCAGTTAAAAAATTATACAGTGATAAGATGATCACATGAGCATTTAATGAAAGAAAAATGACACTCTTCTAATATACTGTGAGTATATCAAAAGTGGATGAAAGAAAAAGTGCTGCACAGTGGATTTGGACTTTGAAAAGCAAAACTTTAACATGGCTCTTGTGAATAATATTTAAGAAAAATATAGTATATTTCAGAATTACAAGTTAAAAATAATAAAAATCAGGATCTAAGTTAAATCTAAGTATGAAAATATAACTAAATGATCTTTTTTTTACAGTTTAAAGGATTATCACTGGAAACGAGCACCCTGAAGGTCTACAGTAGTGGCCATTATTTAATTTATTCATTAATTGTTTTGGAACAGATGGTAAAAGAGACAAAATAGTCTGCTTCACATAAGTCACAATTTAGATAACTCAAAATAGAGAAGATGGTTTAAAGGAAATTAAAAAATATTTACTAATGTTAGGCATATGAGCAAAATGCTAATACCAAAATTTTACATTGCCTTGTGCATTTCAGAACAATTTGGATGCACTGCATCAGTTGCATACTCCACAGAGCTATTTGATTTTAAAAATAACAGAAATTGCTCAGTCACTGAGGATTTTTTGGCTACCAACACTTCTGATCTGCTTGATGTTTTGTAGTTTTTGTGGACTCCCAATGGAGATTGCCCTTCTCCAGTTGGCAGTCTCCCTTGATCTGGCAGCTGCACACGTGCAGGCAATGAGTGCTGGATGTGGAGAAGGACATGTTGTTCCCTGTGGAGCTGATGAAGATCAGCTCATTGTCCTGGAAACAGTGGGAGCAGAACCGTCTCCCCAGGTCAGCACTTCTTATCAGTCCCTCCTCAAAGTTATACACAGAAGAGTTTGTGGATTTCAAGCACAGTGGTTTTTGGAGAACTGTGTTTCTGGCTGCCAGTACTGAAATCTGGATCTTTATGCGAGTTTTCTTGGATCTGGCAGTCCTTCAGACTAACTACAAGACAATCTTTGATATGAAACTATCCTCCTTTTTCTGGAGAAAATGAGTGACCAAACGTTGCAGAGCCACAGATAAAGCAGGGCATCTGTAGAGAGCAGAGATTCACAGAGTCTGCTACCACAGAGTGTCACACTAGTAAGCTGTGCACTATCTGAAAGCTGAATGTTAGGGGAAAAAAACAGGGAAAAAAGAGAAACCACCATTGGTAGAAGCAGCGATTGCTGCTTCTAACATGCCTACAGCACAGTCTGCAATGATGGTGTCCAGCCAGGTGAGGGAAGAAGAAGTGAAAAGAAGTTGAATTAAAGGCACCTATTGCTTCTCCTTTATCAGAATACATATTCCTCCATTCCTCTTAGCTGTCTTTTTTGTAGAAGAGTGGTCTACACAGTGCTGTTTGGGACTGAACCTCACACCTAGAGCTCCCCTTCCCTCCTCACCATGGGCCAGGCATACAGGGTGGTGCCTCTTCTTTCTCCTCATTGCTGCCAACTCTGTACTGCTGCCATTGTTGGGAGAGCTTGCTTCTTTCCCCACTACGTCTTTTCCTCTTTAACATGCTCTGTCATCAGCAGAGTGTTTGCTCACTTTCAAGCAGAGGGGAGAGCAGAGTCCTTTGACAACTGAGTCAGAAAGAGCCTTTACTTTTGGGTTAGAGTCTCTTGACTTTCTGCTATTTGCCTCCTGATGGCCAACCTGCCTTTTGTATTCTAACACAGTATGAAATCCTGAGGATAGTGTTTTCTATCATTTTTTGAGTAGACTAGAAAACGTCATACCTAAGAAACTGAAGAGGATACCACTGTTCTGTTCTGTCATGGCAAATATGGTGGTGTTAGTACACCCGTTACCCTAAAATATAATATATATTTTGCTTTGTCTTTGCCAACATCAAAGGAAATGAATTCTGTATTTAAAAAATAATTCATAAACTCTATAAACTGTTGTGTGCTACAAAAAAAAAAAAAAAAAGGAAAAAGAAAATTACGAATATTTCAAAGTGAAATGACAGATTTTCCAGAGCTCAAAAGTTGCATTACTTTGATACAAAAGCAGGAGTGAAAGAAAAATAAATTGTCTTGTAAGTATTCCACAGTGCTGAAAGAGACGTGGATTGGCAGTGTACCATTTCAACAAGTAACAAGCACCTGTCACCTTGAGTGAAACTTAGAAATATCTCACCATGGTATCTTCATTATATGCACCAGCCTTTCTGACTAAGGAATATGAGTTGGCAAAAAGTACTTAACCCAAAATTTTGTGAGTTTAACAAAGGAGAACAGGAACACAGAGGTATAGCACTTTTTACTTAACTGTAATTGTCCTTAGTAAAACAAAAGACTCGTCATGACACAGGTCTACATACTGACTTGTAGAGACCTGTCTTCTACAACCGAGTGTATATTTTCTCTTAAGCTAGAAACAAGTCAATTGCACTTCATGCATTTCATAGATAGCTGAAAGTACTCTCAAGCCATTGATGCACACACCATATGCTACAAGCATGCAACTCAGTAAAATAAAACATTAGAAGATTCATATTATATTACCTTTCTTTTTTTGTAGTATGCAATGGTTTAGAGTAATGCCTAAGTGTTTGGGTTCATACAATAATGATGTTCTTTGTATAAATATGTAAGTATCTAACATCTGCATTACATCTTTTCCTAGCCCCTACTGGACTATAAATTCAATAGATTTTCAAATCTATTCAGTAAATAATGTTTGGCAATGATTCTGGAAAAGACATAAGGGGTTTGACCTTCTTTAGTTCTGCACTGGGCAAGTAATGTACAAGTGACACTGAACTTGCCAAACAATCAGAACTTAGAAGGCTGAATTACTTTGTAACATAAACTTGCTGAAATATAGCTATAGGATCTCAACAGGCTGCAGTCACAGATGTAATTTTTCGTGTTTGGTAAATCAACAAGAAGAGTATTGCTTCTGTCTAATTACTCTGAGTCTTTATGTTCAACCAGTATTCCATCAGGCTTAGGATCTCCAGACAGGTCTCCCTGGTTCCCCTGTCTAGGACTTCCTGTAGCTATTTACAGCTGCCCAGGCTTGGGGTCAGCTCCTGAGTTTCTCTGAGACTTGAGCATGGGCTCTCCCAGGACACTAACACTAACTAATAGCAAAACCTTCAAAAACACACGACTCTACATATGTATGGTCATAAGTTTGTGATTGCAAAAAATAAACTGGACTAGGAAAAAGTTGTAAACACTTTACAAACTTTCCTTCCTGATTACTCCAAATCACTCTTTGAACTAAGATCAAAGCCTCTGAAAAAGTCCAAATCATCCTGAGCACAACTAAGTTTATCAGTCCAGATTGCTTTCAACTCTTTTGTTTGTTTGGTTGGTTTTTTCTGCTTTGGACAATTTTTTTCCTGTTAAACTGTTCTCCCAGCTAGAAGCTATGATTTGTGTGCAAGTATTCTCATCTCTAAAGACCAATCTTAAGACAAAAGGTTTCTGGCTTGGAAAGCAAATGGAAATGCCTTGTTAGCAAAGGTGAATTTATAGAGAAATTTAAAACATGCAGCAAGTTTATGACTATGCATTATCAGCCAGAACTGACAAGTTTTGTGTATACAAATCTTTTAGATTCTTGCAACTCCATTCAAAAAATTTTCATTCTAATGGCACTTTGCAAAGTAAGATCTTATTATTGATAATCAGATCTCATCCAATACAAAAGAAAATTTTCTCTCATTAAATAAACAGCTTATCTGCTCTAGCCCTCCATAAGCCTGAGCCTGAAAGTCAAATTACCATGGTTGGTCTGCATTCATTCAGAACTCCTATGAAATGTATTGAGAATCAACTATCTAAAACACTGCGAGTGAAAAAAAAACAACAAAAAACAAGCAAAAAAGCCACCATATTGGGATTGTGGGCACAGCCCACTTATTTCCAGTAAAAAGAGGGTATATCTATCTAGTAAAATGAAGTTATGAATGCAGCATAAACTCGTGTTTACTTAATCTAACATGTTCAACACAACCTGTGTTGCTTCATGTTCCCTCTGACTGTTCTACGTCACAGTCAGCACAAGGATAACAGCACAAGTTACAACTATATCTTTTTATACACATGCCTGCCTTTTGTTGGTAAAATGTGTTTCCCGAAGACTTAACATTTCACTTATATCTCAGGGTACTCCCAGATTTGCATATGGGTCTACAGACAACGATGGGCGTCATCGCTAGCACAAACGGTTCTACTGAAATTTTCCATCATCTGGGTAAACTCATCATTTGTTCTTCCACTTGAAAGATTTACCCTACACTATCACAGTTTTGGACCTGCAACACTAAAGCTAATCCACAGCTTTAAATCTCACTCACTGTTTCAACTTCCAGATGATTCCCCTCCCCACACCCATCCCGAAAAAATGAAGTAATTCCCCAGACAGCTGAAGAGCTCAAACTTACTTGTTGCATTGTAGGTGAATGTAAAGCAGACTGGACCTGCATTGGTAGTTGGTTTCCAACAGACTGCTGCATTGAAATCGGCTGGTGTTGCTGGATGTTGAGATGCTGATGCAGAGGGGGGCTGATCTGAAGAGGTGGCGGTGGGGACACAGCCATGTTTGCTATGGAAACAGTCACTGGCATTTGGTTGTTGGGCTTGGGTGCTATGTTCCTGGGGATATTGGCATGCATGGTAGTAATGTGAGGATTCATTCCTGGTTGTTGGTGGTAGTGGGAACTGAGGTACAGTGCAGAGTGAGCCTGGGCGGGCCCATGAAACACTGACTGCTTTGAATTCATCATCTGAGGTTGTGGGGAAGCTTTAACATCAACAGGTTCACTGTAGCTCTGTTGAGAAAAACAAAAAATCAGACAATACTTAGAAGCTACCAAATGTGGCTGTCCTATCCCCCAAGTCTGTTTAAGAGTCACACCATAGGAAAACATGTATATCTGGACCATCAAATTGTCCATGAAATGGAGTTTGGTCACTACACTAGAAAAAGAATGAATCCCTTTTATCTTATACTTTTTTCTTCAACACTGTAAAAAAAAAAAAAAGGTAATTTAGGTCCTCTGTTTACTGGTCTAGCCTGGCATCTTCCTTTTTCCAAACTTGGAACTGGCATCAGTGATCTAATAACTTACATAACAAAGATAACCAAGCCTCACACATTTTTTTACATAAGCAGCCACAACTATTGACCTCAGACTTGACAGCCTAGTTGAAAAGAAATTCAGTAGGGTGGGTTCTACTAAAAGTCTGCAGTAATCTTTGACATGTCTCATTTTCTCATTTGCAAACCGGGATAAGAATTTCAGTGTCCTTTATCATACACATTGATAATGCTAATAGTGCTTTATCAGTTAGTTAACATGATGAAGAGGCTAAACCCCATCAGCTGTTCTAATGCATGGAACAAATACACTAGTTGCTGTGCTAATGCCTTTATTTTGAATATTCTGTCCTGGAATGCTATCCATGCCACCAAACATTGCTACATGTGCCATGCATTAGGAGAAATAAAAATATTCTGAATAATTTCACTTTTAACAAAACTTCCTTTGTTGATCCAATTCACAAGGTTCTGAAAATTCTTTTTAAAACTGATGTCTATATAAATGCTAGACTGCATCAAACATGGGGAAGTTATCTTTCTAAAGCTGAAAGAATACCGCATAGAAACTGTACAGATTTTCAGAAATGTTATAGACTGCCCAAATTTCTTAAAGTTGCTAGTAATAAAAACTGTCCTTTAATGAATGTGAATTTTAATAATATTTTTTGTTCTAATATTTATGACTTGCTACATTTGCTTAAACTCAGTTTGCTCAGTTGTTTTTCATACCGCCTTTATTTTCTTGGATGTCCTGAGTGCAAACTGTGTGCTTTAAAAAATGATGAAAAAAATTTAAGAATTAACTCCCATATGCTTATAAGAGGGAACCATAATTTGAAGTTAAGTCATACTGGGATTAATAGTCAATGAAAGGTGAAACATGCTGGAAAAAAATGGCAGAAATGTCCCCCTGGAGAAAGAAGTCACTTTGTCAAAACAAGGCTGAAAGACACATATACGCCCTTATTCTGTGATCTCCATGTCATGTTTGCTCAGTTTACAAGTCAAAGTAAGTTTCGTGTTACTCTTAGCACTCCAGGGTCAGTGAAGTCTATTTGTATTCTTTCTGAAGGATGCACCGTCACCAACAATCCTTTAACATGTACGTTACTGAAATTGCTTCATTATATGTGATGATAAAGACGCAAATGATAACTTAATTTTCCCTAAGTATAACTGCAGTTCCCTTAGCCAAAAACCCCTTATTTTCTCCAGTAAATGAAGAAAAATCATATGAATATGATAAAATGAGCGCAAATCTCTCTCTGCGGATCTGCCTGGCTCTGCTCACATGTGAGTGTACAAGTGTGCAATACGTATTATGTGCATATTTGCAGGATTCAGATGCAGACATAAAAGACGGAAAGTAGCTTCAAAAATCTGCTGTTATTTGGATATTATTTTTAAAACATTGCATGAATGTTCATGACAACATGGGAAGTATCTTCCCCCTCTCTTCTCAGTTGTATATTTAGAACACTCTCATGACTGTAGGAGCAAAAACTGGCAAAAACTGAAATTTACTGAAATTTCAACAATTCAGAATGTTTGCTAATTAGCGGCATGGTCAGGAGCCTCCTCTTGAGTGTCCCACGCTTCTTACACATTACAGGAGGTATATGCTGTTTCTTTCTTGAGAAACCTGGAAGTTTTATTTAAAGCATAGTCCCCTCATGAAAACAGTTTGTCTTTCCATGATGTAGCAGGCAGGTTCTGTGTAGTCCAAGTAGGGATAATTGCTCCTGAAGTGTCTAAGGGTAGATTGCTTAAACAATTCCTCCTGGTGAGGAGGTATCAAAAAACCTTTGCAGCACTATTTGTGACATACTGATACATACTTACACTTCATTTGTAACTACAAAGATGCTGCCATACACCTCTTTAACAAAGATACATTGAACCAATCTAATTACTGGGCAATTCTGAGTTCACACGTAAGAGGCCAATGCATGGCCCATACTGACAAAATTACAGACATATAGACAGTATTATTTGATACTTTAAATATCATATTATGTTAAAAGGAATTGTACAGTCTCTGGTCAGAGATGAATAACACTCATTATACCTCTGAGAAGAGCTCTGCAAATTGATCAAAATTGACTGTTTCAGTTGTCTAAAGCTATGAATCAGCTTTGTATATGTTTCACCACCTCTTGATCCACTGAAAAGCACAACACTTCGGTTTAAGATCAAGTATTTTACTGGAACTTAGAATACTTTGAATCATATGTGATGTGAAACCAAATTGTCCAGTATCGTGTAAATCACATCAATACTACCAGTTACTGGGAATCTTGATAAATGAACCCATTAAATGCTCTTCTCCAGTATACTGCACCTTCAGCTTTTTCTGCAGATAGGTCAGAAATGCAGATTTTGTAAGTATTGCTGAAGCTAATAGAATAGGTGATTCAAATACTTTGGCTTAGTTGCGTTACTTTACTGTGAAATATACCAAGAGGTAAATATGATGCATAAGTCATGCTACCCTTTCAGTCACAATTACTTCATTCACAGACTTGAATGGGCATTGCACCTATCCAGTAAAGCATCAGACAGTCTTAGATAAGGACTTTTATCATGGGTAAAACTAGGAATTAAGAACAAAGGGATTTCATTAGCGAATATGGGCTTCAAATGCACAGTCATGTTCCCCAACTTTGCAGGCTGGAATTCAGTAAATTCTCTCTTGCCTTATCCAAGGAGAAAAGCACAGAAATAACTTAAAAGCCCCCAAAACCCTCTAATTAATCTGCCTCAAACCAACACAATTTACATCTCTGATTTTTGGGATTAAGTTCTAGAATACAATTCATTTGCAGATATATGCAGTGGAGACCAAAATTACAAATCTGTACACACAGGCCACCAAACATTGGGGCTTAGATCTCCTACAGGTAACAAGGTCTTCTACTAGATCTCCAGTGAGAACATCTTGGATCACTATTATCAGAATGGTGGTGTAGAATCACCACTAGAGGGTGACAGAATATTATATTTAGTATACAGTGGGTGGCAGTATTTAATACATAGATTAGTGAATATACACTAGGACCACAAATGAGTTTTTCTTGACAGTCGTTTATGCTCTTTGCATGGCTTATACTTGTACTAGAGATCAGGTCAAAGCGTTACTATAGATCTTCAAGTTCTAGGATAGGCTAGGAGAAGGATTTCCTATGGACCTGTCTCTCCAACTAACATCATCACCTAATACTACTGCCTAAATTTAAAAAAATAAAAAATCAGAAGGTGAAGACAACATAGGTAGGCCAAAGCAATGGAATGCTACAGAGAAAGTATGACTGCACCTTTGTCACAATGCAAAGCCATTTTCCTCCCTTCCCCCAACCAAGAATCTAGTTTTACCAAAACACAAAGAAAAAGAGGGAAGAACATTTTAATATCTGAACAGAAAGATAATGAAAGTAGAAAAAAAGTAGGGAAAGGAAGGAAACAAAATAAGTACTACTGTAACTCCGATGATAACAAATATAATTATATTAACTAAAAGTACTGGTGGCTCATGACCCTTGGTCCACAGAATTATTTTACTTGTATTGTATTTTCAAGGAAATGTTTGATGATACTAACGAGTGATGGTCTTCAGAGAAAGTGTTCAGAGTTGATAATTTTGCACCATTTGGAAAGTGCTGAATCAAGTTCTTATCCATGGCTTTCACTAAGCTTGTGCCTTTCCTTCCAATTCTAGAGCAAAGAGAACTTTCTCATCTACTTCTACTCCCCTAATGTGTGCCAAAACTCCTTATTCTTAATTACCAAATTAAAGAATTATATTAGGTTAAGGGGTTAAGCTTAATAGTTGTGCTATTCTTTTCTACTGAAAACTGCCCTGGGACTAATGGTCCTCCTATCACAGACTGAATTCAGGCACAAGGAGTATGTCTGTTCCTTAGAGGAAAGTGACATTGGGATTTCCCTCATCGTATAACATACAACTCACTCTTATGGTCGAGAAATAATTTTTGGTGCAGCCATCCTGCTCAATTTACTTGTGTCAGAGAAAAAAGCAGCAGCCTAGGCAATGCCATTCTGGCATCTCCACAGTTGCCTTTCGGATATAATTTTACTTCCACTTTGAAAAGTCACACTTTAAATGCTCACCTCTGTATCTGGGTAACCAAACAGCACTTGAAACCTACATGGGTATTGATTCTCTTTCTAACCTGTGACTGCCTTCTGGCTACTGTTGGCACTTCTAACCCCGTCTCAGCTGGAACATAACATCCATGTTGAAAGTAAAGCAAGGACATGTTTTAACAAGGCAGTACTCTAAGGGCCTGATCCTTGGACTACTGAATTGAAAAGAAAATCTTCTACTACTAACTCCAACAGAATTTGAATCACAGCCCAACACTGTTACTGTTACTTCAGTATTAATATCTGCAGGTCCATTTAATTTTTTATGAAAACCAAGTAGGATCTGCCTAACAGAGGCAGAGAATCATTCCCAGTTGAGGACCTGTACTTTTGACCTGTGTTTCTTCAGAAGCATACCCAGAAACTACAAGTGCCTATACTTATTTCATTTGTTAACACGTTAATGCAGTTTTTGCTAGAAATGCTGCCAGCAAGTAGGACTATATAGATATATACACACATAATGCCTATGAATATCTTTAATTTACATAACACATAAATACTTTATCTTCAGCATCCTTATCTACTGCAGGATACTATATATATATTATCTGCTATAACATA